CATTTTGAGGTAGACCTGGAGGATGGAAAGGACCGGGCAGGTGTGGAGTTGGAAGAAGAGCCTGCCTTGCAGTGGGTACACTGAGGGTCCAAGCCCAGGAGGGTTTCTGGAAAAGAAGCAGTTGGGGTCAGTGGGGAAAGGGACATGAGAGATAAGTGAATAAAATGTTTTGGGTACTTTCCCATGTCATTATTATTTTATTGTTACTGGGCTGTCCTTAATGTCTAGGCATTTATATGTGATATTTTCAACTTTCCTGTGTTAAATACATTTGGCATAGTCTTGAGCCCCAGTATGCACTGACCAAGAGCAGCCAGTACTCTGTTTATGAATGTGCATGCAGTTTTTCTGGTATTTTCTTTCTTGGTTCCAGAGGGACTGTGCTGTAAAACACAGTTCTTGGAAATTATCTTATTCTTAAAAATGTTTTATACTAAGGACCACTCAGAGATCACTGGAATTATTAAAGAACTATGGAGTCATTTCTTTCTTAATCACTCCTGCTTGTTAGGTATACTTAGAGTACGCTGGTGCTTAGAGTACACTGGTACCTTAGGGACTTGCTCAAAAAATAACCAGTTAGTGGTAAAAGTAGAATTACTGTTCATTGCTTCAGAATGTTCAGTCTGCTCACAAGATTGTCTTGCTGTCTTCATAAGCTATGTAAATACAAAGTATGATATTACTGTTTCTGTTTTTCCAACTGAAATAAATGAAGTATAGAAACTATAAATCCAAAAGTGATCCTTGAGAGTCTCAGTGACAGTTCATAGTGACATGCCACATGACTCTGCTCTTTTTACTTTCAGTTCATTATCACCCAGCTCAGATAGGCACTCAAAGAAGCTGACCAGTCCTACTAGGTTTACGTAGGGAAGTCATTTTTCTGTATTCAACTTAACTAATTCATTTTTCTTCTGCATACTTTTAATTTCCTGCATGCTTTCTATTTCCTATACTTTGGATCAGCCAGAATAAGGCTAGATTATGCCATAGTAACAAATAGCCCTCAAATCTCAGTGGCTTTGCACAACAATATTTCTTGTCCAATTTACATATCATTTGTGGGTTGGCAGAGAGTCACTACCCATTAAAGTAACTCAGGGATCCAAGCAGCCACCAGGTGGTTACTTTGCCAAAGGGATAAAGTGTTCTGGAAGGTCTTGCATTAGTAATAAAATGCTCTAGGCTGGAAGTGACAGTCATCATTACTCAATGAAAAGAAAAATCACATGTTTCTTCCATTATAACGGGGCCAGGAAGTGAAGTTGTACATTGGGTCTAAAAAGCTGGGTATTAGGGGAAGATTCTAGAACTATTTGTCAAACAGTTCTAACTAGTACACATTGTTAGCGATTCACTTTGTATTTCACTGAGAAAATTAAAGGGCTCCCCCATCATCAAAACAACAACAACAACAACAACAAAAACCACATCCCCAATATATCCCCAGAAAACAAACAGTGGTGGCTCATGCCTGTCACTCCAGCACTCAGGAGGCAGGAGGAGTGTGAGTTCGAGACCAGCCTGTGGGCTACTAGCATGTTCAAGGCTAGGCTGGGCTACATAGTGATACCCTGTCTAAAAACAAAAAGAAGAGCAAAAACATAGAAATAATCAACATAAAAAGCCCTCTGGAACTTATCTGCCCATTATCAAATTTACCATCCTGTCTACATTTGTATCTTCTTTCTCTTTCCAGTGTTGTCTAATACAGGAAGTATCTTTTCTTCTACCCAAATATCTTAGATCACATTCTTTTGTCAGGCATGAACCTTGTTTAGCCACTGGTTCACTTGGGGAAAATTCACCCTTGAACTTCAGTGTCTGCTGACTTCTGTGTGTGAACATTCCCACCATGGCCAATTTCAGGCTACCAACATGGAACATCTGAATGTGTGTTTGGGGAGAGATATACGCAGCAGGCTTCATGGGCAGATTTGAAGAGACTCCTGCACAGTGCTGATAGTCTACTTTATGCTACTACTCATATCAGCCATGTATGTATTTACAAATGAATGTATACATATGTATTTGTGCATACATAATTTGAATAGAACTTGATTTCTTTCCTTTTAGATTAAAAGTAACAGTTCTGCTATTTCCTTGCCTCTCCCCAACTCATATATTGCCTTACAAATCTCCAAATTCCTCATTTCGGAGAATGCTGCTCTAGACACTTAAGCACTTTGCTCCTTTGGTTACTTACCCTCTATTCTGCATCATCAGCCTCTTCTCCTGTCATTCCCATAGTGTAACAATAGGTCCTGTGGTTTTCGGTGTCTTCCCCTGAAATTGTCTCTTGATCTAGCATTCCCCTTTATTGACAGCTGTTTTTCTATTCCCCTACATAGCAAAACCTCTCAAAGATATGTATGCATATGCCATTTTCACTTCCTCTTCTTCACCCTACTCCAATCTGATGTCCATCCCTGCTACTTTACTGAGATTGCGCTTGTAATTATATCAATGATTTTGTATTTCTGATTTTAATGGGTGACCTCTGCCCTCATCTTACTAGACCTGATCCTTCTTCAATAGTCTTTCTCTTTGGCTTCTGCTTTAATATACTGTTGATGTTTGTTCCTCTTCTGCATTTATGCTGCTTCCCTAGTGATCTCTATGCCTTCACAACCAGGTCTGTACCGACACCTCCCACCTTGAGTTCCCTAGCCCTGCTTTCTCTTCTGAGCTCTAAGTATGTTGTTTGGTTGCCTCCTTGCTACTTTCACCTGGAGCTTTCTTAACATCTTAATGGATCAGCTCCAGAATGGACTTTTTATTTTTCCCTATTTTTGTCCATGCTATTCTGGTTTTGTCCTAGTTTTCCTTCTTTCAAAAACAAAAAAAGAGGAAAGAAAGAAAAGAGAAAATAAATTTGTTTATTCAGTTATTAAATCCAAAACTTTGAAGTCATTAACTTCTTTCCTTTCTTCATCTCTATATCTAATTCACAACACATGCTTTTAAAAATACTTAATCTGTCAATTTATTTCAGTCTCTCTCTTAGTCCAGGCTCTTATCACTTTTCTTCTGGATAGTTCTTATAACTCTTAGTAGAATTTTTCCCTGTTCACATTTGCCTCTTTACAAACTATGCCTGATATTGTAACTGAGTGATTTTTACAATATGTAAATCAAAGTATTCTTTCCCTTGAAAACATCCAATACACATAGAGTAGATTTCAGATTTCTGTGACCTCCAAGGCTTGGTGTGTTTGGGCCTCTGTCTCCTTCTTCCTCTTCCTTGCATATCACTCTGCCCTTGACTTGTGCACTTTCTTCTTTGTTCTAAGCACAGGCTGGTCTCTTTCCTCAGTGCCTTTGCATTTTCCATCTGTCTTCCTGGGAGGCTCTTGCCCTAGCTTGTCATGTGGTTGGTGCTTTCTTTTTCTCAGGATTTCAGATTAGTTGCCATCTAGATCGAGGGTCCTTCCTTCCTATCCTAATGTCAGGTTTCGTACTGGTTTGCTTTTGTCCTAATACTTAACATAATTTGGGATTGGTTTTCTTGATTTAACAACTTGATTTAGTAGAAAGCTCTGTGAGGGCAGAAACCCTATTTCTGTTTGGTGTTTGGTAGATGCTCTGTAAACATGTTGAATGAAAGAAATTTATGGAAGAATAAATGGTCTCGCTTCTCAGATAAGTGCTAATTATTGAGTAAAGATATAAGTGGAAGGTAGGTCAAGCACAGTGATCAGCACAGCGGTAGGAGCACAGGTTAATACGTTGCTCTTGTCTGAAATCTTCCTCAAAGACTCATCCTAAAACTAGTGAGACCAATCCAGGGTAAATTTTATATAAGGGTAAATGTAAAATCCTGTGCTGTGGTTTTAAAAAAATCAATTGTATTGTAAAGCACTGGGGAATTCTGGCTAGATACCAGTATTCTTATGTCAAGTGCTAAGAACCTGAAGCTAATACAGTCCTAAACTGCATCAATCAACCCATGCATTTCTGTTTTAGGGAAGAGAATTGAGAATTGTCTTATAGTACTGTCTTCCCATAACAACAGTAGAATTATTACATCTTCCATCCATCTACCCACTTAACATTTGCTGAATACATCTTAGGCACTTACATTAATCAGGGACAGCATTGTTATGGCTCAGTGTTTCTGGGGCTTTGTGTCTTACTTCTCTCTCACTGAAAACGTTGGAGCAAAAGTGAGTTTGTCATTTATTAAGAAGCAGTACACTCTAGTAGTTCAGAATGTATTCTCTGGCCCTAGCATGGTGGCACATGTGTGTAATCTCAGTTTTTCAGGGGGTAGAGGTAGGAGGATCATGGCGGAAGGCCAACCTTGGCAAAGATAGCATAAGATCCTCTCTGAAAAATGAACTAAAAGCAAAAGGACTAGGGGTATCACTCAAGTGGTAGAGTGCTTACAAGGCCTTGAGTTTTATCCCCAGTACTGCCAAAAAAGAAAAGAGAAAAAAAAGAAGAAGAAAAAAAAAAACCAAAACAATGTATGCTCTGGAGCCAGCTGGACTCTGTAGCCCAGTGCTTCAAAGTCCAGTTCTGATATTTACCAGTTGTGTGGTGTTGAGTAAGTTTTTAAAATGTCTCTCTGCTTTGTAGTTATATCTATAAACTAGAGATTGTAATACTATGCGTGAAGTTGTGAAAAATGAGTTAATGCATATAAATCAGTTAGACTGATACCTGTTAAAATTGTGTTTTCTGGAGAGCCAAAGGTGGAGATTGAAAAAATAGTCACAGAGAAAGCCTGGAAAGCCAAAACCCAGGTTATTCTTATTTTTTTAAATCTGTGTTAAGGATTATTAATAGCTTGAGTTTAAACTTGACTGGAAAGTTTATGACATTTGTTTTATTTAGTCTTCTCTTTTAGGCAAGGGAAATATGAATCCTGTTTGGAAATGCCACTTGGTAGTTTTTTTTTCCCTCCCTTCCTGCTCTCAAAGAAACACACCTTTAGAAATAATAAAATTGTGGCTATCCATCAACACATATTTTTTGCTTTGCTTTTGTTTTAGTGGCAGCTGAAATACCCTAAACTGATTCTCCGAGAGGCTGGCAGTGTGTCCGAGGAGCTCCATAAAGAGGTCCCTGAAGCCTTTCTCACTCTGCACAAGCATGGCTGCTTATTTCGGGACCTGGTTAGAATCCAAGGCAAAGATCTGCTCACTCCGGTATCTCGCATCCTCATTGGGAATCCAGGCTGCACCTACAAGTACTTGAACACCAGGCTGTTCACGGTGCCCTGGCCAGTGAAGGGCTCTAATGTGAACTACACTGAATCTGAGATCGCTGCTGCATGCCAGACTTTCCTGAAGCTTAATCACTACCTTCAGGTAGAGACCATCCAGGCTTTAGAAGAACTTGCTGTCAAAGAAAAGGCCAATGAAGATGCTGTGCCAGTGTGCATAGCAGAGTTCCCCAGGGTTGGCATGGGGTCATCCTATGACGATGAAGTGGACGTTAAGAGCAGAGCGGCCTATAATGTCACTTTGCTGAATTTCATGGATCCTCAGAAAATGCCATACCTGAAAGAGGAGCCTTATTTTGGCATGGGGAAAATGGCAGTAAGCTGGCATCATGATGAAAACTTGGTGGACAGGTCAGCGGTGGCAGTGTACAGTTACAGCTGTGAAGGTACAGTCTTCTCTGATTATAATCTGACCAGAGTTATTTAGGCTCTGAAGATAAACATCCATAAACATGCATGTATGTTCTTTTCTAGGCTTGTCTCACCCATGTGTCTGCAGAAAATACCGCTTTCTTATCTAGCTATGCTCTCTGGTTCATTGTTACTACACTCAGAATACTTTTTGCATGTAAGCATTACTGTCATTTTGTCTTCCCCATGCCTAGGAGTGCAGCATCTTGGATTCATACAGCCAACTGCCTTTCTCTAAAGCTCTAAGTAGATTGTACAGTTGCTATAATTAACCTGCTGGTAAAGGGCCAGGAAGACAGAAATATGTCAAATCTTTCCAGGTTCTCATAGGTGCACATTCTTGTGTTGCCAAAATACTCTATTATGGTTGACATCACTATCTTGATGGGTGTGACTTGTCAGGTATAGACTTGTTCTTGGCTTCATACCATTTTTTACTATTATCCTTCTTGCCAGAAGCAGTTGAGGTAACTTTTATAAGCAGACATTCCTGTTTTCAGGAAATTATCTAGTCCCCAACCCAGTTCTGCAGTTTTAAACCTTTCGGGTGGCTGTGGCAAACTTGTTCTGGTATTTTCTGAAATCTGATCCCCTTGGAACAGAAATTCAGAGGTTACCATTTAGTGGTGTCCCCCCCACCCCCCTTTTTCCTTCTGTTCAGTTTCTGTGTAGTTAGGGTCCTCATAGTTTCTCACAACAGGATTATAAAGAAAGGTAGTTGAATATGGAGGGCAGCATGACTGTTGCTTTCCACTTCACCTGATTCTTTGACAAAGGAAACCATGTAATATTAGCTCTTCCATCTGTTCTATTGAGAGATGTTCAGTTAATCAGAGTTCTAGGTATCCTTTTGGGAATGAGCTGGAACTTTGAAGTCAGTGTTTTTCAGACATCTGCAGTTGTTTTATTTACTTGTTTACTGAATTGTTTACTGAAAAGACTATTTGTGAAAAGGGATGTAAGAGAAAAAAAACTCTCATTGTACTCTTAAATTTCTTACAGTTTCCAAGTCTCAAAAATTTCCCCAGGATAACTAATATAGTTTCTAATTTTGCTTTATGTTTTCAATCCAAAACAAGGAACTAGTTTAGTGGTTAGAAATTTCACCAGTATCCCTGACATCTCAAATAATGATGCTGACCTAAGAAAATCCCTTGAAGGGATTCAGTGCTGTTCTAATGGAAACAACCATGATCCTCTAATCTTTAATAAGGCCTTGCCAGGGATTTGAGAACTATGGCATCTCAGAAGTCTGATGTGAAGCAACAGTGGAGCTTGTTAGTTTCTTTCTTATGGAGGCCCTCCAACGATGCACCAGTGCATGTGATAGCACAAACTGCTGCAAAGAGTCTTTGTGCTCTCAGTTATTCTGCAGCTTAATCGTTCTATTGTGCTCTCTTGGCATGAGTGATCAAGTAGGTTTTGAAACCTAGAATACCTTTCAGAAAAACATCTAAAATTTTCATGAATACTTTCTGTGGTCAGGAACAGGTAAGGCTGATAAAGAATACAGATATAGATTACGTATATAGAAATGTTTATATTTTCATTTACCATTTTGGAAGTGGTAACTGCAGACTTCTGATCTTAAGAGTGGTGTAATTCCTTTGTTCTTGTAATATCTGGATCTCCCATAATTCTAGTAGAAGCAGCAGTACTGAGAGTACCTGTTTATTGAGCATGTACTTTGGGGACAGGCAGTTGTAGCATTGGACATGTTTTAAACTCACTTCATCTTTTTCACAACAACCCAATGAATGAGCTAGTGATGAAGATCTGTCATGGTCCTCATAATAATACTCCAATCAATGACCAACCACACATATGACTGTGGTCTTGTAAGATTATACTAGGGGTGAAAAATTGCTATTGCCAAGGGACTTTGTGCCATTGTAATGTAGCACAAATTGATATGTCTTAGTGATGCTACTGGTATAAGCAAATGCATGGTGCTTCCAGTTGTAAAACCTATAACACACATAATTATGTATAGTATATAATGCTTGATAATGATTATAAATGACTGTTACTGATTTATAACAGTTGTACTTGTTATGCTGTACTTTTAATTGCTATTTTAGAATGCACTCCTTTTACTTATATAAGAAATATACTGTAAAAATTTCTTCTGTCTTAAGTGGCCAGTAACTTTCTATTTGTCGTGGTTACCCCACCTCATAACTCCTTCAACAGGCTGCATGAAGTGATTGACCTATATATAGCATCTAGGGCTGGGTAAGTACACTGTCTGATGTTCCCGCAATGATGGAATTGCCTAACAACACATTTCTCAGAACATATGCCTGTCGTTAGCGATATATGATGGTACCAATGTTCTCATTTAATACATGAGACCACCTTGTTCATGGTTACATAGCTAATTATTAGCAGAGCTATGATTTTAATCTGGACCTGTGGCCTCAGTGCCTTAACATCCAAGATTATGTAACTCATGAACCAGTATTCCTCTCCTAGTGCTGAAGTTGCCTTGAGATTTGGGCTTTTAAGGTTTGGAAAGTGAAGGTAGTGTTTCATTTGCTCTCCCTTTAGATCTGGACACTTTCTACCTCCAACTTCACTTCTCCTAATTTCTGCTGTAGAGTTTCCAGCACTTTCTTGCAAATGATTGAACTGCATTGGATGTGTATATTCTATGAAAAAGAACCTTTCTCTAGGTCTCTGGCTTGTTACTGGTTTGATTTTGGGTCAGATGGTATACAAACCAAGCACCTCACAACTTTCTGGTGAGTGTGTTTCTTCCAAGTGACAAGAGATTGGTTTAGTTCTCTGGTGTCCTTATAATTCTGCCAGAACTATGGCAAGGTTGGACTTGAAGAAAGACATTTGAATTAAATTCTGGTTGGAGTTGGGTAGGACTTTAAAGGGTCACAGAGTAGAAACTTCAGAGCCTGTATTGTTTTCTGTGTTCTTGAGCATGTTGGTTGAGAAATTGCTAAGGGAAGTTCAATTAGCTGCTTTAGGCAATATTGGAATCCAAAGGTATATCAAGTGCTCTTCCTGCCTTGAGAAGCTAAGTAATGTAAGATGTGCTCTTGGGATTATAATTTTGAAATGACAAAACTTTGAATGTAGAAGAAATTTTGGAAGTGACCCGATTTGAGCCCCCTGAGGGGAGACAGGAAGTAGTTTGCCCAAATCACAAAGTTCCTTAGTGATGTGAGCAGGGATGTCATTTGGAGTGTGTGGCTTGCCACTAGAGAGGTTTGTGTAAACTGCATTGGGAATTCAGATTCTGAAGTGATTACTTCCTGTTGAAATTAAATTCAGTTGAATCTTAAGATCCTTAAGACTTTGCTGTCAATACCTTTTCCCAGGGAAATCTTCTTGTAGATTTATAATGAGCCAATCATCCCCCTTTGGTTTATTTTTATGAGTAGAGGCCATTGAGAAGTAATTTATATAGGATACATGTATTTATATACTAAATTCATTGGCTTTCACATGCATTTCTAGTTAATAGATATCTCTAGAAGGAAGATTGAAATGGTACAATTTTTAATCAGGAATGGCTTTGGGGAACCATATGTAAATAGGCAGAGTATTTGATTTTCCTATTCCAGCTTTGCTGGCAATTGCTTGTTACTCCTAGCTGTAAAACTGAATTTTAGCAGGAAGACATTAAAAATGCATTGTTTAATATGGTCCAAAACCTTGTCCTTTGACAGGAACACCTTAAAAAAACATCACTTAGACAATAACTGTTGGTTACCATTTTTGTTTCTTTGTTTAGAAGGAAACATTCCTTGTGACCTTGTCATTATAGGAAAAGGAATTCTATTTATTTATTTATTTACGTTGTGCTGGGTGGGAGTACATTGTGGCATTTACAAAAGTTCGTACAATATATCAAATATATCATACTTGACATTTCTAACGAGTACCAAGTGTTACAGATTCTCTCCATTATTTTCCCGTTCTCCCATGAAGGAACAGGGAGGTTCACAAAAGGAAGAGGCCTCTCCTTGTTTCCTGTTGAGTGGTTATAGTCTAGAAAGTAGGAACTTTATAGTAATTTTTTAGGACTCTAGGATTCCCATTCAGGTCTCTGATTTGTGAAAAGTTGAATCTCTTAAGGATGGAAATTTGTTCCCATAATTCTTGACTCTCTCTTTTGAAATGAGTAGCTCTGTAGTCCTTAGTTCATCATTCAGATCATGAGAAACCAGTGTAATGGCAGCTAGGGACTTTGGAATATTTATAATTTTTTAAAATGCTGTGATAGTTAATGTTTTTCTTTGCCACCCAGCAATCTTGTCTAAGGTCTCAGTTCATTGACCTATGTTTATTTTTTTTTTTGCATCATACCATGTCTAGTCAGCTATTTTTAAAGGCACTTAATACGGCTCAGTAAAACTCATTTGGTTGTACAAGTCACTTTGGGTTATTTTGTTAACATCTGGGAAATTATTTATTCTTTTAACAATACATAGCTACTATTTGCTAAGTACTTATCTAGAAGTTGAGCATGCAACAATGAACAAAACAGAAGAAATCTCTGCTCTCATCAAGCTTACATTTGTGCAAGAGAAAACAGAAAAAATTTAAGTAAGTTGTGTGCCCAAGGGAGGGGTGAGGATAGGTAAGACACCTAAAAAACTAGCTAGCATTTGTTGCCCTTAATGCAGAGAAACTAAAGCAGATACCTTAAAGCAACTGAGGCCAATAGGAAAAGGGGACCAGGAACTAGAGAAAAGGTTAGATTAAAAAGAATTAACCTAGAAGGTAACACCCATGCACAGGAAATCAATGTGAGTCAATGCCCTGTATAGCTATCCTTATCTCAACCAGCAAAACCCCTTGTTCCTTCCTATTATTGCTTATACTCTCTCTACAACAAAATTAGAAATAAGGGCAAAATAGTTTCTGCTGGGTATTGGGGGGGGAGCGGGAGGGGGTGGAGTGGGTGGTAAGGGAGGGGGTGGGGGCAGGGGGGAGAAATAAACCAAGCCTTGTA